ACAGATGCAACTCTTCCGATGCCAAAACCGAAAAAGAAACCAAAGACAGAATCCAAGAAACCAGACACCAAACCTCAGGAACCTGATGATGAGGAGTTTGAGCCAGAGCTGGTCTCAGCCCCTATATCAAAAAAACCTGATCTCAAACTGAAGGACCCAGAAGGTACTAGACCGAAGGCACCTTTGAAAATCAAGCCGACGGAGGGTGATTCTGAGCCTGAAACAGATGCAACTCTTCCGATGTCAAAACTGAAAAAGAAACCAAAGACGGAACCTGAGATATCGGATGCCAAACCTCAGGAAAAACCAGACAAACCCGATGACGAGGAGTTGGAGCCAGAATTGATCTCTGTTCCGAAGTCCAAAAGACCTGGTGTTAAGTCTGGAAAACCCAAGGTGTCGGCTGTCAAACCTAAAAGTCCTCTCAAAGTTAAATTAATGGATGATAGTCCTGAACCGGAAACTGATGCTACATTATCTTTGCCGAAGAAAAAACCGGGAGATAAGGGACAAGAAGAACCGGACGAGATCTGCGAAACGAGTTTCACTGTTCCGGAATTACTCACCGAAAACGGGGTAGTGTTCATCTTCAGCTAACATTAAAAGTATCAATAAAATTATTGACCGCTAAGCGATATTTTTCATTGTTCTGCTAAGCTTCAATTTTCTTCCGTCTCATCCACTATTCCTGAATTGAAGATTATGTTATTTAAGAGTGACCAAATAATTTTGCAGCCTGAAAACAATGAAACTGTACCGCGGAAGAGGAGACCGAAGGAAAAAAAGGTCAATTTCGAAATTCACCTTATTTATTCGTTACCCAATCCTTCTCTGACATGCTTAGCGTCCATGCTTTTTCAATTTCTTCGATCTCGACCCTCACCTCAGTTAAGCTTAGACTGATACATTTTACAATTTTCCGCCAATTCCTGAATAGATAAATCATCGTTGTCGTTGTCCAAACTCTTATATATCTCTACCCAAACTTCATCATTAACTGCTCTGAATTTTTCGATTTCTCTTCTTCGTCCTCATTCTTCTTTTTGTCTTAAAACCACATCCTTGGTTTCATTTTGCATGTTCAAAAAACGCTGAATTTTCCAGAAGAAACCGAAGCTACAATGGATTCCACCACCCAGACCACCACCAGAGCCGTATGAGATGCCACCGGAAGAAAAGAAGCTGGCCGATATTTTGAAGGAAGAAAAAATTCCACCAACGAAACGATATGCTAGAAGGCCACAACATTTGTAAGTATTAAGCGTTTTGCAAAATTTACCGAGCAATTATTGGATTCATTTTTTTTCCTTTCTTGTCACTAATCGGCATCCAAGTTTATAAAATGCTTCTAAATTCTAACCATTTGTTTGTAATCATAAAGTTTTTGAATTTAAGGGACGTTTTTATTCCGTTCGAAATACCTTGGGAGAATTTACCTGCACTACAAACACAAGAAGGTATGGGAGCTTTTGGGCATACTCGAGATGCGAACATAAAGGTTGATCAGGGTTCTAAGCATCTGGTACAGGTATGCTACTCGAACAAGGATTTACAAAAGTTATTTGAAAATATCATTAGGAAATGGTGAGATGATCAGAATCCAAAACTTTGAAAAAGTTTTGGAGTTAATTTTTAAGTTGCTACATTGAAATCAACTTAAAAACTATGATGGTCATTCAGGTTTTCAGTGCAAGCTGCTGATACAAATGAGATAAAATTGCACATCTTCTTTATCCCAGTTTCTTGCTTCCAATCGGTAGATCTTTTTCATGTTGCCACTCAAAGAATCAGTGGAAGCTTTTCGGATTTCGGAAGGCTTCCATTGATTGTATTGTCGAGTAGACATTAGGATGATATCCGACAATTTGCATCGATATTGTTGATCAGTGTTACCTGCTTAACAGATTATACTTCATGTTATGGTGATGATGTTTGTACATTATTTGCTCATTTGATTAGAGACTTCATTCCTTTTCCTAGCTCGAATCCCACGTGTAATACAATTGCGAGATCTACGGATCATATCCTGAATAAAAAGTAAACCGGATTAAAATTAATTTATGCACTTCACTTTTTCGTGACTTAATGCTTTTTTTTAAAAGATTATTTTAATACCTTCAACTATTACTAATTATTGATCTTGTTTCAGGGTGATCTTCACTCCGAGACTGTTATCCCCCTTTTTTCGCAGGCAGTTGGAGAAAATCGATCCGGTATGTTACCTTTCGGATCGTACCGAAGGAACATATCGGATGTTATTGACCATCATAAATTTGATGACTCTAAGGTATATCGAATTATTTCGAAAAATTTTTATTCTTAATAAAGTTGGAAAATTAATAAAATGTAAAGTTTTTTTCTTTACTGTTCGCAGTGAGGTTTTTACCATTCAGATATGAGCTATATGGATTTTCCATGGATTTGTGAATGAAATTATATTTATTGTTTTAAATTTCAGAATTGTTTTAGACGTTTGAGAATGTAGATACAAACTCCCGGATAAAAAATTGAATTCATTATTTCAGCTCAAAGAAAGTGATCGTTTAATTCCAAAGTTGATGCAAGGTGCAATACAGCCACAAAACGCTGAAACTTTATTTGGGCAGATTCGGAACCAGGTAATTTCTTCCATAAAGTTATTACTGCAGAAGCAGATGGTAAATGGTAAAAGATTGCTAAATGGTAAAAGATTTTTTGGAAATGCTTCTATTTTGAGAAACACACAAATATCAAATGTTATTCGAAAGTGCTATAAGGTTTTAGACACCGCACGTGAAGTATTTGGACTACATGTCGCCGAGTTGTGATCCAGGATCCCATGGTTTTATTAGTCGACAATTTGCACCGACATCTACTGAAAAAGCTGGCAGTAGCATCATGGACAGACGGCGAAATGTCATAGCCAATGCACAGGTTCAAAAATCGATACACGTAAGACTAATCGGGATTGAGGATTACGTCATATAGATTGAAAAGGATCGAGATCAAGGGTTAAGTCATGTGGATTGAAAAGGGATGTAATTCATCACTATCATTTGTCGACTTCTAGTGTGTTTAATTGAAAAAATGTAATTGTTGAATTATGTTATGTATCCTTTTAACATACAAGACATTGAAATTTGGGTTAAATGACGATGATTAAATTTAACTTGAGCTTGTTTCTTTTGAAAATTAGAATCCAAAATTTGTTTACAAATGAATTTCCAGGGCTCCGGAAATGATATTGGAGTTTTTGATCGCGCCTCTGAATCAATCATGCCACTTCTTTTCAATGTTCAAGATATCTACCTCAAAAGTGGAGCTGATTTTGGTGCTTTTCGACCGTTGGTCAGCGAATCGGAAGGTGGTTACCGGATGAATCTGGCTAATGAGATCAAATGCAAACTTGTTGTTCCCTACCAGGTTAACATTTTTTTGGTCATTTAAAATTATTTTAAATGATCGTTTCAATTCTTAGCGATTGAATTTGAAGTATAAAAAAATGTTAATTGCACAAGACTTCACAGAATGAAAGAATACTTAAAACTCTTGATCGTCCTTCCTGCTTCCTTCTCTCTCCTTATTTTTCCTCGCTCTGCATTTATCTCCATGTCTTAATTCATCCTTATTCGTC